TATGCTTATTGGGGAAGCAGGAAGTTGCGGCTGGTCGTTGGGCCCCAGGTTCTTCACGTCCAATTGTTTCTTTCGTTTAAGTGATTTTTAATTGTCCTTCATTGCAATATCCTAGTACCCGAAAAGATGCCGGGGTATCAAGTATATATTTTGTCACTAAACTGCCCGTATCGGGATTGGGTAATTTTGCGCCGCTCGCTGCCTTTCCTTAGAATGGGGTAGGCCATCTCTCAGGCTCCCTTATCCGGAATCGAAACCTTAATTCCGCGTTACCCGTTGCCACCATAGTAGGCCACTATCATACCATCGAAAGTTGATAGGGCAGAAATTTGAATGAACCATCGCCGGCGCAAGGCCATGCGATTCGACAAGTTATTATGAATCACCAAGGAGCCCCGAAGGGCATTGGTTTTTTATCTAATAAATACACCCCTTCCGAAGTCGAGGCTTTCAGCATGTATTAGCTCTAGAATTACCACGGGTATCCAAGTAGTAAGGTACTATCAAATAAACGATAACTGATTTAATGAGCCATTCGCAGTTTCACCGTATAGATTGCTTATACTTAGACATGCATGGCTTAATCTTTGAGACAAGCATATGACTACTGGCAGAATCAACCAGGTAGCTAACTTTCAGACCCGGCGGCCGCAGCCCCCGGGCCGGAACCCCCGCGGGGGACAGAAAGTAGCTAAGCAGAAGGGGTTCCTTCACCGAAACCCACCGTGGGCGACCATGCGGCGCACCGCGATGGACGTCCCAACGGCATTCGATTGCCCCCACTGAAATTCTCAAGAGGACGGTCCGCGGCAGATAGGGACTTCTCGACCCAGAAAGGGGGAGCCCCGTCTGCCGCATCGGTCCCTCCGATGGAGGATCTCGGCCCCGGACACGCTGACGCACAGCGGCTTCCGGACCCGGATTGCCCCCAGGAATCTGATCAGAAATGTTCGCCAGCGGCCAACAGTCGACAGACCCCAACCGGAACCGGAGTCGACAAGGGACTCCGGGGTTCCGACACCCGAGGCGATGCCGCGGATGCTCGAGCCCACCGGGGGTTGAAGGGCCCATCGGGTTCATCCGATGGGCACCCCTTAACCGCGCATGGAAGGCTCTATCCCGACATGGAAAACGAAGGGCAAAGCGTGGGCTTCGACACCGCCGCTGGGGAGTTTCGCGAGGTTCACGGCCGGGGCCGACCGAGCAACCAGTTCACGAACCAAACCCGTCTGCGGGGTTGAAGCCGCCTGGCTTTCCGTCTACATATACCTACTGGATCAAGGTGGGATGTTATTGTGCGATTATGTGCTCGCGGTCTTAAAAAACAACGCGGGGGGGGTGATTTTATATGCGAACTGCAAAACTGGGCCGACAAACGCTCAGAAGTCGGCAAGGATTTTCC